AAAAAGACAAATAACCTATGATATCACTTATATGTGGAATCTAAAAAAAAAAGAGAGAGACACAAACGATCTTATTTACAAAACAAAGACTGTCAGATGTAGAAAACAAATTTACGGTTACCAAGGGGGAAAGGGGATTGGGAAGCATAAATTGGGAGTTTGGGATTGGCAGATACAAACTATTATGTACAGAATACATAAACAACAAGATCCTACTGCACAGCACAGGGAAACTATATTCAGTGGCTTTCAGTAACCTGTAATGAAAATGAAAATGAATATATAAACATATATAAAGAATTGACTGTATTAGGAAAAAAACTGGAAGAAAAATATCAGGGTCTGTTATAAGATTGTGTACAGTTACCAAAAGTTACATTTTTTTTAAACAAATAGTATGAGCACGTATTATTTTTTAGAGCAAAAAGCCCACCAATTCTCATTTTAGGGAAAAATTACAATAATGGCAAAGGTTCTGAAAGCAGACAATTTGGAGGCTGACATTTAGATAAGTTACTTAACTTCTCCAAACTCATTTTCTTCATCTGCAAAATGGTCTTACCATTAGCACCCACCCTATGGGACTGTTTGGAGAACTGGGTGAGGATTTGTGTACAGCTGTGTCTGGCATGTTGTGAGTGGCCAATACATGCTCACTTTTTAAAACATACAGTTCCGGTCAAGATGGCGGAGCAGTAGGACCATGAACTCGCCTCTCCTTGCGACTACAACGAAACCACAACTGAATGTTAAACAACCATCGAAAAAAGACTGGAACCTAGTGAAAAAGATCTGCAACTGGAAACATAAAGAGGGAGCCACAGCAGGACAGTTGGAGGGGTGTGCTCATGATATAACTTGGCCCCATACCCCCATGTGGGCAACACACAAGCTGAAGAATAATTAAGTCGCAGAGACCCTCCCACAGGAGTGAAAGCTCTGAGCCCCACGTCAGGCTCCCCAGCCTGGATCCCAGTATTGGAAGGAGAAAGAGACCCCAGGACATCTGGTTTTGAAGGCCAGGGGAGCTTGTCTCTGGGAGCCGCATGGGACTGGGTGAAATGAAGACTCCATTCGCTTGAGAAGCATATATGGAAACTCACGTGCACCAGGTCCAAGGGCAGAGGCAGTGATTTCATAGGAACCTGGGCCAGGCCTGCCTGCTGGATTTAGAGGGTCTCCTGGGGACGTGGGGGACGGCTGCGGCTCACTTAGGGGACGTAAAACCTGGTGGTGGACATTCCTGGAGTGTTAATCTACATGAGCTTTCCTGGAGGCTGACATCCTGATTGGATCATCAGCCCCAAGACCTAGCCCCACCCAACAGCCTGTGGGGAAGCCTCAGGTCAAACAACATGCAGGGTGGGAACAGCCACACCCATCAGCAGACTTCCTGAGCCACAAAGACCTCTAGACACAGCCCTGCCCACCAGAGGTCCAGGACCAAGCTTCAACTAGCAGCGGGCAGGCACCGGCCCCTCCTGCCAGGAACAGGGCATAAGCCTCTAGTCCAGCCTCATCCACCAGGGGCAGGTACTAGAAATAAGAAAACAACAATCCCAAAGCCTGTGGAAGGAATCCACAGACACATAAAAGATAGATATGAGGCGGCAAAGGAATATCACCCAGGACAAGGCACAAGGTAAAATCACAGAAGAAGAAATAAGTGGTGAGGTGATAGATAATTTATCTGAGAAAGAGTTTAAAGTAATGACGGCCAAGATGTTCAGAGAACTCAAGAGGAGTATAGATGTGCAGAGTGAAGTTTTTAGCAAAGAGTTGGAAAATATAAGGAATACCCAAATAGAGTTGAAGAATAAAATCACTGAAGTGAACAATATATTAGAAAGAACCAAGAATAGACTAAATGAGGCAGAAGAACAGATCAGTGAGCTAGAAGACAAATTAGTGGAAACCACTACTTCAGAACAGAAAAAAGAATAAAAAGGAATGAGGATAGTTTAGGAGAACTCTGGGACACAAGAAGTGCTCTAATATTCACATTACAGGGGCCCAGAAAGAGAAGAGAGAGAGAAAGGACCTGAGAAAATTTTTGGAGAGATAATAACCAAAAACTTCCCCAACTTGGGAAAGGGAACAGTCACCCAAGTCCAGGAAGCACAGAAAGTACCACAGAGGATCAACCCAAAGGAACCAAGGCACATAGCAATCAAATTGACAAAAATTAAGGATAAGGAGAAAATATTAAAATTAGCAAGAGAAAAGCAACAAATAATATACAAGGGAACTCCCATAAGGTTATCAGCTGATTTTTCAGCAGAAACTCTACAGGCCATAAGAGAGTGGAACCATATATTTAAAGTGTTAAAAGGGGGAAATTTACAACCAAGAATACTCTATCCAGCAAGGCTCTCATTCAGACTTGATGGAGAAATCAAAAGCTTTACGGATAAACAAAAGCTAAAAGATTTCAGCACCACCAAACCAGCTTTACAACAAATGTTAAAGGACCTTCTCTAGTCATCAAACTGTGAGAAAACAGAACAAAAAGAAGAAACAGAAAAAAAAAAGAGGCCTACAAAAGATTGCTTTGGCTGTTCGGGGTCTTTTGTGGTTCCTTATAAATTCTGGAATTGTTTGTTCTAGTTCTGTGAGGAATATTGCAAATATTTTGACGGGGGTTGCATTGGATCTGTGGATTGCTTTGGGTAGTGTGGTCATTTTGATAGTGTTGATTCTTCCAATCCAAGAGCACAAGAAATCTTTCCATTTCTTTGTGTCATTTTGATTTTCAGAGTATAGGGAACCTACTTGGTTAAGCTTATTCCTAGGTATTTTGTTGTTTTTGATGTAATGGAAATGTCTCTGCCAGTTATAAAATTCTGGTTTTTTGAAGTGAAAAAAAAATTGAATGAAGAGCGGCAAATGGCAAAATATCCTCCTTTTTTATCGGTGAGTTGTATTCCATTGCATATATATATGCTGCATCATCTTTATCTATTCAACTA